ACTCCATCTCCTGTATACCCAAACATAATTCGAGACTTGATGAAGGGTATAAACAACAGTTTTTTTTAGGCCAAGTTATATACCCGACCCCCAGCATGGGGTCTCTATTCCTAAAGTAAAAAACCCGCCCAGGAGTCTCTGTGTCTGGGAGATAGGCGAGTTTGCTTTTGCTTAAACGAATTATCTACCAGGCACAAAAATACAACATATAAAACATATACAATATTCCCCCAGAATATAGTTAAAACAGACAGGAACCACACATATCATACATCCCTGGTAGTTCTTGTAGTCCAAATAGTGCCTGGATCCATAAAGAATTGTCCAATCACCACCTGCATGAAGTTTTGACCAGCCACACACGTGGGCAAAGCCTAAAATAGTTCCAGAGGGAAAGTATTCTTGGCCGGTCAAATATTGGGAGTTCTTGTGGTCAAATAAACAGAGTCTTCCCCTTTTAAGGAGCGATTATTACTTACAGTCTGTAGTACCTTCCCTCCAATTAACACTCTCCTGGCTGGTCGGGAAAGGTGAAAATACAAGGGGTAAAGAGGACCAAGAAGTGAGGGAGAAGTGGCCAATTTCCATTCCACGGAGATAATGGCTAAGTGCTGCTGGGGTCATTCAGTTGTAGCTTGTTTCGAAACTGCTGCCAGGTAGAGAGCACTTTGGGTGAATTCAGGAGAGGAAAGGTATAGAGCCAGGGGAACAGTGTTCTTTCAGGGCATAGTGTAGCAGACTGTCACAGCCCCTGGCTTGCGGCTGCACACAGTTACACCTGATTGGTGCAACCACGCTGACAGGTCAGAGAGATTACCTGTTCAATCTGCCGGCGCATCCCCCCCTCCACACGTGGGAACCAAAATGGTGCCGACCATGAGGTTGCGGATATTTATAGCTCTGCTTCCAAAGTTCATGCAAATGTGCCTGTGACACGATGTCGACGCACACACACGTTCTGGGGTCAGAGGCCAAGCTCTGACCAATCACAGCACAACGAGGAGTATTTAAACCCCAGAATTTCCCTAGCTCATTGCCCTGTCGTGGTTTCCGTTCCTGGTTCCTGATAGCGCCTTTTATTATCCTTGTTATAGATTTCCCGATATTCTGACCTTGGCCATTCCTGACTATTCCTGACTATTCTATTCTTGTTTCCCTGACTTGGCTTTCTCATCCATCTTGTGTATTTCTGGCTTCCTTGACCTCGGCTCTCTCTTGACCATTCTCTTGATTTTTTTACTCCCTGTTCGGTTGTCTGTACTCCCCTTGTTAGTGTCCCGAATGGAGAATGTCTAGTCCCCTTTTTATACTCCCCCGAATACCGACAACCCCTGGCTAGTTAACTTCAAAGGAGTCATTAACTCAATTGCTTTCCCTGGGTGGCTATAAACAAACACATGTGCTCTAGGGAATGGCGGCCATTTTGTCTCCCGAACACAGACAGGGGTATATGGTTGTCGAACACATGGAACCCTTTTCAGCTACGTGATCCCACGAACCCAGGTAAAAACTGTACTGCTGCCCGTTCCATTTCCTGAACAGCTAGGAGAATGACATTTGGGAGATAGTAACTAACGATTGGAGGGAGCATTCACTCCCTTATAGCTAGGGGGAGCATTCGTCGGTGTTTGCACAAAAACTCCCAAAAGTGGACTGGCCGTTACCTCTTTTCATCTGAAACTATTTTGGGCTATCATCTCATGACCGTCCGGTAAGAACCTTACCAGAATGGCGATTCTGTTCTACCAAAGGGATATGAGCGCTATTTGGACAACTTGGGATCCGGGTTATTCGGGGATATAAGATTTGTGTGATTCCTGTGTATTATGACTATGTTTTGGGGGTGTTTCATGTATTTCTTATGTGGTTTTCTGTAACTGAGAGATAATTGAGTTACTAGGTTTTGACTCAATTATATACCAAACACAGGGACACCTGGCAGGGGTTTGTGTTGATTTGAATGGAGACCCCATGCTAGGGTCTGTGCATAAAAGGCTGGGTTTAGCTGAATAAAAACAGTTGTACTCTCAGAACTGTGTGTCATGCAGTTACTGGGGAGGAGGAGAGCTATTCACATTTCAGTGCCTTGTTCCTGAGTTTCAGTTACTACAAATCCAGTGAATGAAATTCCTGGTTAGGACTCTCGCTCCGCTACACATAGTCTGAGATTTAGCTTGATGGAGTTCTTCACAAACAAGTCCACAACAAAATATCAATAGGGAAAATTTAGAAAATATTAGTTCAGGTAATAAAATTATCTGCAGTCCCCAGGAACCCTAGTAACCCTACCCAGAGTGAAGCAGGTCAGGAACACAAAAAAATCAAATGAGGTGTTCCCAGAATTCCCAATGTGCACTGGGGTTAGGGTCGTTATAATAAAGTTATCACGCCTTCCTCTTCCATCTAATTTATGGCATGTGAAGTATATTTCTTAGAGTCCAAATGATCTCTTAATAATGATAACAAAAGGTCACTGTGATCTCTTCTCACCTCTCAACCATGTGCAGATAAAGGTTAGTAACACTGAACCCTATGTAAGTGTAACTTATAATGACAATTAAATAATAGTGACTGGTAATTAACTACTAAGTTTGACATAATTACTCTGGAATTGAATAAATAATTTTTAATTGTTCAACAATGGTATTAGCTTTATGGACATCAGCAAATAAGCCAACCTAAAGATTTACATTTTTGCTTGCTTAAACACACGTGCAAGGGGATGGTCACTAACCTGGCACATAAGCTCACCCATATACCACTAAATAGATGTGAAATAGCGGAGCACATCAAACTAAAATATTTACTTTCTAGTATGTTGGGTGGTCAAACAAGTCCTGATCTTCTGCCCATAAACAGTCTTTTACTACATATTTGCAGTCCACTTTATTTACTTTATTTTACCTTCTTGCCCACAGGAAACCTCTCCAGATCTTGCCCTCAAGGTTGGTTTGCAATGGGCTCAAGTTGTTATTATATCTCAGAAAACAAAATGACCTGGTTAGAGGCCCGCTACTACTGCCATGAATTAAACTCGAAACTTGCCATCATAACCAGCATGAATGAAATGGTATGCTGCATCCACATTAAAAATTAGCTAGAGGTGTAAAATAACAAATCTAGAAAAGTTCCAGAATTGTTCTGAAAAACATTTTTGCAGTGTTTTGTCTTGTATTAGAAAAAAAGAAAAGACATGTTTTGACTGTTTGGTGACTAAGAATTAAAAGGTCATAACTATTAGGAGGAAATTCCTGTTCTCAACAGCTTCATACATCATGAAATAGTTGGATTTGGGTGATCAGATACAGAAAGCCAAATACAGCTTGTATACAGGGGATTCCCTAATTAATTTATCATAATCTCCATCTCACTTGTCTTTGTAATAGGGAAAAAATTGTGAATTTTGAATGTTCTCTGAAAACTTACCCATTCAGAGCCTACCACCTAACCACACTTCTAATCTCTCAAACAGACACCTAGGACAGTCCCTTACATTGTACCAGTGTATAATTATTATATATTTATTTTCATAATGTGAATCCTTTTACATTGCACAGCTCTGAGAAATCTAATGGTGTGCTATAAAAATAATAATAATAATAATAATATGAAATATTTTGCCCTAGGATTCTTTATTTAAACTTCTGAAAGGCTATGATGGACTCTGGATTGGGCTACATAGAGATAGCAATGAAATTAATTCCTGGAAATGGCTGGACGGGGCAAAAATGACATTTTCGTGAGTATGAACTTTTACATAACATGCTAAATGCGTTTAGACTAGAGCATTATATAAGTTATAAAGAATTTGATTTCTGTATAGGGGGGGAGAGAAACCGTATATCCTTTCTGATTTAGAATAGAAAATAGATACAATAGAAGCTGAGGCAAATTAGGACTTGAGGGTCAAAAATGAAGAAGAACATACTCTGATAAACGAAAACTGAAAGAACATTCATTCATGCAGTGTAGAGCTTTCATTTGTCACAGCAAAGCTGCACCAAAATTTACCAACTGGTGTAACTATCTTATGGCACCAATTAGTAAAGGGTACAGTCTGGAGTGCAAACGGTCTTATAGAAATCGCAATATTATTTGTTATTCACTAAATGACACTGCAGTTTTTTGTTTTCTGGTTTCTTGGACTATATATGCTTAATCAGTTTATATTTCTCTCATATTACATAATGTATTATGTGTTATCTATGCAGCTACTGGGGGAATAAAGAACCCAACAATGAGAAAAAGAATGAAGAATGTGTAGAGGTGTTGTCTGGAGCTTGGAATGATGAAGCGTGTAGTGAAAGACGGACCTTTATGTGCAAGAAAACGTACAGCTGCTGAGAAGTTTGAAACAGACTGCATCTCGGTCCAGTGTTCTATGAAGGCATAGAAAATACCACACTTCTCAGTACAAGATCTGTTTGTAGGGTGGGCACCTACAAGGTGTTCCGATACTGCAGATCTATGATTGACTTGTTCACTTGTCCTTAAAGCGGCACTGTCATGCCAAACTTACCTTTCCCCAATCGATTCCTCTTCTCTCCCTCTATCAAGATCCGTTCTTCATTTCTTCCTGTCTGCTCTAGTTTTCGTTAAAAATTAAGACAAAGTAGGGACTATTTCTCTTCTGGAGGTTTCCTACGCCATGACCAGCTATGACCAGCAAAGGAGCAAAGTGTGCTTCGTTTCCGGTGGTCAGAGCAATTTTCCCGTGATCCTTAGCTTTCCTCCCTGTTCCCATGATGCCTCCTGTCAGTATTGCCAAATGTCCTGTCACTTAGACAGAACGCCGGCAAAACTGCCGAATTGTGTCCTAACAGAATGAGGACAGTTTTTCCATTCATGTTAGTACGCAATTCGGGACTTTGCTCAGATCGCAATTTCATTTGAATGAAACTCCGATCCTATTCGTGCTGTGGCTGCATCTTGCAGCCACTTAGTAGATAACTCCCTAATTCCCACAGTATTAGGGAGCTATCTACCAAAAGGCTGAAAGACCTAAATCTTTCAGCCACATTTACTAATACTAAGTAAAGATTTATTAGTATTAGTAAATTCAGCCCTTACTCGCTATACCGCAAGTAGGGGCATGTCTAGTAAACAGCTGCTCACTGTAAAAAAAATATATTGCCCCCCCCCACAGCCCCCACCCCTGCACGGTGGGTGGGGGTCCTACTGTCCTCACCCCCTCCTGGGCGGTGGATGGGGGCCCTAAAACAAATCCCCCCCTCCTTCAAAGGTGACTAGTAAAATAACTAACCTCTAAAATCTTAATTTTTCAGTCCCAAAAAAGGCCAAATAAAAAACCATCATACCCGTCAAACTTAAAATAAAATAAAAAATCCAAGTGCAAAAATAAACAGACAAAAAAAAAAAAAAATCAGCCGCAAAAAAAAAAATCCATCTTCACCCATGGAGGGCTCCGCGCAGACTGTGCTCTGCAGGGCGGGGGAAGGCTTATAAAGCCTTCCCCCGCCCTGCAATTAGGCTAAGAACACTCTGATTGGTTGGTTTAAGCCAATCAGAGTACTCTTTGTCATTTTACATAGCGTGGGAAAGTTCCAAATTTAATTTGACTCATAACACTCTGATTGGTGAGCTTGAAATCCATCCAATCAGAGTGCTCTGTGTCATTTTACACAGTGTGGGAAACTTGTCGTCCCCCTCTCATTAGCTTTATGGCCCCCACACATCACCCAGGGGTGGTGCTCACTGGCTGCTCACTGTTTACTAGACATGCCCCTACTCACGGTATAGCCAGTAGGGGCAGAATTTACTAATACTAAGTAATCTTTACTTAGTATTAGTAAATGTGGCTGAAAGACCAATTTAGGTCTTTCAGCCTTTTGGTAGATAGCTCCCTAATACCGTGGGAATTAGGGAGTTATCTACTAAGCGGCTGCAAAATGCAGCCACAGCACGAATAGGATCAGAGTTTAATTCATTCAAATGAAATTGCGATCCAAACAAAGTCCCGAATTGCGTTCTAACACGAATGGAGAAACTGTCCTCATTCTGTTAGGACGCAATTCGGCAGTTTTGCCGGCATTCTGTCTAAGTGACAGGACGTTCGGCAATACTGACAGGAGGCATCGTGGGAACAGGGAGGAAAGCTAAGGATCATGGGAAAATTGCTCTGACCGCCAGAAACGAAGCACACTTTGTTCCTCCGCTGGTCATAGCTGGTCATGGCGTAGGAAACCTCCATAAGAGAAATAGTCCCTACTTTGTCTTAATTTTTAAAGAAAACTAGAGCAGACAGGAAGAAATGAAGAACACATCCTGACAGAGGGAGAGAAGATGAATCAATTGGGGAAAGGAAAGTTCGGCATGACAATGCCGCTTTAAGAGGAAAATGCTCTTTTCTAATTTTCTCACCATAAGTTCTCCCAGTCGATCTTTCCTCATACTGTGCTGCTAGGTCTCAGAATGGGTGATTCAGGACTATGAGTGATGTAATTTCCCAAAGCCATCGATCTTGAAGGCCTAAACAGTGCAATGTAAATGAGCTGCAGAGGCTTAACTAGCCTAACAGAACTGAGCGCTATTGTATTAATAATTAAAAAAAAAAAAATTCTGAGAGATATACATAGCCTGGGAGATATAAGCAGGCACAGGAACGTAGGGATACAGATACCCTTGAGAAAGGCAGCCAGGGAGGTGCCAAAATGTTAGGGGTTACTGGTGATTCGTGTTCTTTCCTGTTATTCTTGAGGAATTGGTGGTAATTACTTTTGTATATGTGCCTTGCCTTTTTTTGCTTTGTATATTTGTTTTGTTTATTTTGTATTGTTGTATATTTAATTTTGAATTTATTTGAATAAATGATTTTTAAATAGTATATGTTTTGTTGCTGTTGGAGTGTGCTTCCTTATTTTTTGTATATATCTTTATTGAGGACATTTGACGGAGTGCCTAATGAGGTTTGCACCTGCTTGTATAGTAGCATTATAGGATTGTTTATCCTCCATGCATTTCTGTTAATATACATAACCGGAGACATAAAACTGGCAGAAACAACTGAGATTTCAACAAGACTGCAAGACAAAAGCAGAGATAGAGACAAGATGGAACAAAGGCTTTTAAATTTAATCATTGTCTCAGTGTTTTCCCCCCATGATGTTACAATTCTTCTCTACTACTTGGCATCTAAACAGGATGTCCAGTCTAAAATAGTCCAAAGTCTTACAGTTCATTACTAAACATTGTCTAAGAAAGCATCTCAGAGGTAGATGGGGTCAATAAGGGGCAGTTCCCTGCCTTCGCTGGTGCCTATGGAGACGTAAACATGAGCTTCCATTAGCTTTCCTGAGTCAAATCATGAAATGCAGGGCTAAGACAATTGGCTTAAAGCAGTGGTTCCCAACCTTTTTTTCACTTGAATACCCCTTGGCTGTCCATTTCCATAAAGTGTACTCATATTAGCAAAATGTTTGTTATTAATATGGTAGCTGTTATTTCAAATGTATATGCCTTTCTCTGACCCAGGCTCACAGACTCACATACAGATGTGCAGACACAGATACAAACATTGACACACATAGATATGCATAGACACACAGATACATTCATTGGCACACATACATAAGTACAGATACAAACTCTGAAATGCATGCAGATGCGCAGACACACTGATACACATGCAGATACATAGATTTAAACAATGACATACATACAGTTGCACAGACACACTGATACACACACATATAGATGTACAGACACACAGATCCAAACAATGATACAGTCAGACAGATACACACAGCGACACACAAGGATACAAACACTGACACATACAGGTACAGACACATTTACAAACACTGACACACATTCAGCTACACAGATACTCACACTGACACACATTCATCTACACAGACACACACAATGACAGATGTAGATATACAGACACATAGATGCAAGCACTGACACGCATACAGGTGCATAGAAACACATAGAGGTGCATAGACATACTAATACACATACTGACACACGAGGATATACAGATACAAACACTGAAACACACACGTAGATACAGATACAAACATTGACACATACAGATACACACACACACTGATGCACATATAGATACGCACTGACACATACAGACTCACAAATACAAAAACCCTGTCCAGCACCCCCTTCTGCAAAATGCCTGCCAAGCCCCCTTTTACAAAACCCCTGCCCCTCTACGAAAATCCCTGCACCCCCTTCTTCACAAAAATCCCTGCACCCCACTTCTTCACAAAAAAATACACGCCCCTTATTTACAAGAAAGCCCATTCACATAAAAGGCCATGCACCCCCACTTCTTCATAAAAAAAAATGCACCCCACCCCCTCTTCTTTGAAAAAAAATCCATACACCTCCATTTTTCACATAAAATCATGCCCTCTTCTCCTTCATAAAAACCGCTGCCAATAATATTCATAAAATAAGAAAAACACGAAATTAGCAAGCAGACATTCTAGCTTGCTGCTCCCTGCTCTGCAGCCGCTGCTGCTCTGGCTTCAGGGCTCTTCTGCCATGGTGCCGCACATAGCAGCAAATCGGATCCTTCCGATACTGCTAGAAATACCATGACAGGCAGAGCACGTCAACGTCACGGCGGCATGGCGTTACATGCCGTCGCGCGCCTCCATGCTCCTCCTCACACATACACATTCAGATGTACAGACTCACACACACTTCCATATATGCAAATACACAGACACAGATGCAAACACTGACACATACAATTGCACAGAGACACTGATGCACACTGGCACACATACAGATATACAGACACACAGATACAAAAAAATGACACACATACAGAAATACAGATATACACATACACACACATTGACAGACATACAGTCACACACACATTGAAACATACAGACACAATTCTAGCCACCCTCCAGTTTCTTACCTTGTAGATGCTGTTGAGTGGCTTCCATGGCAGGGGCTGATGGGTGTGAGGGTCTTGCTACTCCTCCTCCTGCTCCTGGCTTGCGGATCCCACGCGGCAGATTCTCTTTGAGCTGGGATGAAGTTCCCAGCTCACTCACTTCCTCCCAGCTCTCTGGGCACATTAGAAAGGGCCCAGTCAAGCTATTAATATGTCATAATGCACGACCGGGACCGTGGCACATGTCCATCGGGTCCATCTGTGTGCATGAGTAACCTCATGGACCTTCACCAAGGCTCCCAACCTCTGTGGCAGCCAGCACCGCTGCCATTACTGATTTTTTTTTTTAGCATACCGCCAGTGGCACTGGATTTTACCGATGGGGGTGCATGTGCCACGTGTTGGGAACCCCTGGCTTAGAGTGTCAGATAGTTGCTCTCAGTCAATGTGTTAAGCTCTGCACTGCATGGAAAGTCAAGTCATTGTAAAATGGTTTGACTACTTATGATGGGCAAGGCACTAGGCAATCTTGACATCATAACCACTATAGCATATTGTTCGTAACTCCCGGTGGTCGAGTAGGGCATTCTGGATGGTTCAACAGCTGGAACAAAGGGTAGTTGGTAGGGCTGTTCATGGGGGAGTGTATACCGGGAAGGGAACAAGAGTGATTACAGTCTTTTAAGCACAGTTGATTACAGTACCTTCCCTCCACTAAGCACTCTTCAAGATGGAGTAGTAGGAGAAAACAATGGAAGCTGCTGCTTATAGCAGTTGAGCTTGAGTTCCAGAGAATTTCAGTGAGGTCCCACTGAAGTAACAACGGCTTGGTAAAGTTGTACTTTAGCGTATTTTATTATTTTTACCATTCCATCCTTCATTTTCTTTATGGCTACCTGATGTAAATCCTTAATAGAATGTACTATTAAGAAGAAACGCCTGATTATTTTACTATTTAAAATAAAAATCAAGATGTGCCTTGCTCAAAACCTTACATAACCTTCACGTGAATTAAATGGTAAATAATAAAATACGCTAAAATACACTTTTACCCAATGACGGATTCTGGCTCCCTGAAACCACTAGAAGGTAGGATGGGTAGAGCGCTCTCGGTGTATGTCCAGAAGGGAAGCTGGGAAAGCCCAGGTGAGTGATTTAATCTTTATAGAGATATTTATCCACTAGATTGGTAAATTTCACAAGGTTCCAGAGTGATAAATTCACTGTATGCTGTTGCTGAATCCAGGAATAGCGGAGGATTAGAGAAGTGACCAAGGGACAGTAAGAGTTGCTATGATCACCTTGAACTAAATAGAAAGAGACCCATCGAGAGAGAGAGAGAAAAAAAGAAAATATCTGATGTTTCCCCCAATTCTTGTTGGTTTTGAAAATACATAAATGGATGAGAAATTCTTATGTTTGAAATAAATAAAAAAATAAATAGAAAAAATGCTTTATTGGAATAAGTAAAAGCATGACAAGTTAAAACATTGTGTATTTACAAAGACAATGTGCTAAATAAGTAATAAATGTACGAAAGGACTGTTTATGAAAACAATCAAGCCTAAAGTGCTATGCTGATACTAACTCTACGATGAACAGAATAGTGAATTGCTAAACAAATCATATTCGAACAGACAAATATATCTCAGCTGCATCTCTTTAATTCGTTTTGTGAATGTTACAAAGTATCTAAGCTGTATCCCTTCAGTTCAGCTTCTAAAATGATACTAAGTATCCATAGTTCTCTCAGCTCAAATAAGTAAGGGCTAATAGTAAATCCAGAGCAATCTACATACAGTGTATTTATCTTATATAGAATTGCCACACATAGAATCTCAATCCATTAAAAATACACTAGTAAATGTCCACTGATGAATGGAGCACGTTTTCTAATGACAGATTTTGATTTAAGGTCCATCTAGCAGACGAAGGCAATTCAGATCTAGTGATAAAAACAGTTTGCGCAATATGAGATTCACTAAACAATGAATACTGAGAGCAGCAGAGATACTAGCGGGTTTATCAGGAGGAGTAGAGCTCTGACAGACAATGTGGGTGGCTCTTATAAGAGCCCTTGGGTTCATAGTAAAGTAGAAGAATGCGATTACTTGGCGCTGGTGTACTTGGTGACAGCCTTGGTGCCCTCGGACACAGCGTGCTGTGCCAGCTCTCCGGGTAGCAGCAGGCGCACGGGAGGTGATGGAGGAGCGCTTGTTGTAGTGAGCCAGGCGAGAGGCTTCTCCTGCGATGCGCTCAAAGATGTCATTAACAAAGGAGTTCATGATCCCCATGGCCTTGGAGGAGATACCGGTGTCAGGGTGGACCTGCTTCAGCACCTTGTACACGTAGATGGCATAGCTCTCCTTCCTGGTCTTCATACGCTTCTTGCAATCTTTCTTCTGGGTCTTGGTCATGGCTTTCTTAGAGCCTTTCTTGGCGGCTGGTGCGGACTTGGCTGGATCAGGCATGACCTACGCTGATTGCTGGAAATACAATGTCAGTCTGGGCGCTCCGGCGGCTCTATTTATAGGCAGGCCATGCAAATTAAACCCTTCCGCTTCCCGTGATGGGATTGGTCAATACAGACAGGTGACAAAACGATGTCATAGTTTCAGCAATTGATTGGTTCCCTGTACAGCGCGTGTCTAATTGGTTGCTTGTAAAGCCATCCAATCACAGAGCAGAGTGTGTCTATAAATATCCCGTTAAGGGGGAGTTTTTATTATTATCAGCGACATTCTAGAACCAACATGTCTGGCCGCGGAAAGCAAGGAGGAAAGACCCGTGCAAAGGCGAAGACTCGCTCATCCCGAGCTTGCCTTTAGTTCCCAGTTGGCAGAGTCCATCGTCTGCTGAGGAAGAGGAATTATGCAGAGCTTGTGGGAGCCGGTGCCCCCGTCTATCTGGCTGCAGTGCTGGAGTACCTGACCGCTGAGATCCTGGAGCTGGCAGGGAATGCTGCCAGAGACAACAAGAAGACCTGCATCATTCCCAGCCATCTCCAGCTCGCTGTCCGTAATGACAAAGAGCTCAACAAACTGCTGGGAGGAGTGACTATCACCCAGGGAGGTGTCCTGCCCAACATCCAGGCTGTGCTGCTGCCCAAGAAAACCGAGAGCCACAAGTCAACCAAGAGCAAGTAAAGCGGACAGCTGCTCCACCGGTCTTGCCTATAAACACAAAGGCTCTTCTAAGAGCCGCCCACAGTCTCCACAAAGAGCGCAACCGTCTCCCTGTATCTACTCACACACACACACCATGAACGTGTAACAAGTCAAAGTAATAGGAAGCGTTCTCGTCCTGTACTCTGTTCCATTCTGTATACAACATTCCAACTCTAGAACGTGAGCTACAATCAATGTATATCCATGATACGTGCAGCAGCATTGAGTTAAACATCGGGGCAAGTGTATACAGTGTGCAGGAGCCTCTATTGCTAAGGGGGGCATCTCGCTCACTTAGGGTCGTCCCCCTCCCTGTCTGAACATGCCATGTAAAACCTAGCATAGGATTCAGCTCTAGCGGCACTAAAGCTCGGATCTCTGAGCTGCTGGATGCGTTAGCGCTGCCTCAACAGCATGGACTCTCGGGCGCACAAGGGGATTATTTTCCAATGAGTGGCTGCCTGGTAACATTCCCTGCTCTGTCTCATGTAGCTCGGTTATAAGGCGACTGAGCGTCCTGTAAGTTAAAGTCCTTTATCAGACGTGATTTCGTGATCACACTAAGACTCCCATGTAAAGAAGCGGGCTCTGCATGTGTAAGAGGTGTATGTGCCATGTCTCCTCAGTAGAGCATACACACTATAATAATTATATTGGGAGTAATACGTCCATTACTGCCCACTGCCAATCCTATCAACTAGTAGCGTCTATAATAAATGCTGTCAGGACATAAGGGGTCACTGAAGGACCAGTTCCTTTCTGTGAAGCAGATGATTTGAGCGGGCCTTTTGAATGAGGGGGGAGGGGATAAGCAGTTGATTTGAGCGGGTATTTTAAAATTAGTTACTATTTGTTTTCAGCCAATCAGAATACTCCACCCACCTGACGAACCAATGAAAACGCAGTGCCCGGCTATAAAAACTCGGTTTTGAGCGCGCAGACTTCATTCATGTTCGTTTTGTTACAATGGCCAGAACTAAGCAGACCGGCCGTAAATCCACCGGAGGCAAGGTTCCCCGCAAGCAGCTAGCCACCAAAGCTGCCAGGAAGAGTGCCCCAGCTACCGGCGGAGTAAAGAAGCCTCACCGTTACCGGCCGGGAACTGTGGCTCTCCGGGAGATCCACCCTTATCAGAAGTCCAACGAGCTGCTCATCTGCAAGCTGCCCTTCCAGCGCCTTGTCTGTGAGATCGCTCAGGATTTCAAGACTGATCTGCGCTTCCAGAGCTCTGCTGTCATGGCTCTGCAAGAGGCTAGCGAGGCTTACCTGGTGGGTCTCTTTGAGGATACCAACTTGTGTGCCATCCACACCAAGAGGGTCACCATCATGCCCAAAGACATCCAGCTGTCCCGTAGGATCCGAGGAGAGAGAGCTTAAGCTTTTAACCTGCTCACACAAACACCACAAAGGCTCTTTTAAGAGCCACCAAATCTGCACTCGAATGAGCTCAAACACACTTATATACACGGTCTTTGGAGACTCTGAATATTACTGAAATATCTAGACGTATCCCCTTTCTAATCACCAAACAATGCCCCGGGTAGCTATAGTAGCTGCTTGGCTATTTCACTCGGAATTTTACCTGTACAGATTTTCAGTGAATAAACTCATCTAGTAGACGCTAGAAGCCAATGACTCTGTTTACAAGCGATCATGTGAATTGGCTACAGGTAAAGCAATACTTTATATTTGCTACGGTCTGCTTAGAGGAAAAGAATACATATGTATTTATATACAGCTAGTCACAATGTTTCTAATGAAATGACTTTAAACTGCAAGCATGTTATAAAATGTAAGCAACAGTAACTATATTCAATACTTCAAATAAGCAAATGTTGGCAGTTTAATCTAAATGCACCGCACTAGATCGTAATGCTGAGTGATATACCACTACAATTACTAGAAATCAAGTGCTAACAGTGCAGACAAATCGATGTGTAACTAGATAATGACACGATCTCAATAACCATTAACTCTACATAGGAGAATGTTATAAACTCAGATCTCGATCTACCAATACCATGTTTGTACTTTCTGATGTGTTTGAGCAGGTAGAAGGCCGTTTGTCAGATATAGAGTTGAAATGATTAGATTGACTCTTTCAGTGAAAAGGTGGGTGGCCCTAACAGCCTCCCTCCCTCCTGCCCCCCCGCCCCCCAAAAACAAAAAAATAACGATAGAGTAGCACCGATATTCTATTTACATTCCAATGAGGTATTTTCTAACACTAGATCCTGCTTTAAGAATGAGGGATGGGAAATGGTGTGTGTGACATTCATTAATACAAACACGTGCCTATCACAAATATAGCTCTGAAAGGACAAGGTGGTGGCTCTTAGAAGAGCCTTTTGGGCTTTTAAAAATAAATTAAAACAAGATACGAGCAGTTCTTATTTCTTCTTGGGAGCTGCCTTTTTAGCTTTTGCTGGACTCTTGGCTGCTCTGGACTTGGCTGCCTTTTTAGCCGGGCTCTTTGTTGCTTTTTTAGACGGACTCTTCACTGCCTTCTTGGGCTTGGAGGCTTTGACTTTCTTGGGGCTCTTTTTAGCGGAGGCTGCCGGCTTCTTGGCCTTTTTTGGGCTCTGTGCGGCTACCTTCTTAGCTTTAACCGGAGACTTGGTGGCTTTCTTAGGGACGGGCTTCTTGACTTTAGCCGGTGCCTTCTTAGGTTTAGCAGCCTTGTCCTTGCTCTCCGCCTGCTTCTTGTTGAGCTTGAAGGAGCCGGAAGCTCCACTACCTTTGACCTGGACGAGAGTCTCTTTAGCCACCAAGCCCTTGAGAGCCAGCTTGAGGCGGCTGTTATTCTTCTCCACATCGTAACCAGTGGCGGTCAAAGCCTTCTTCAGGGCTGCCAGGGACACCCTGCTGCGCTCTTTAGAGGCGGACACAGCTTTAACAAGGAGTTCGGACACGCTGGGACCGGACAGCTTGGCGGTTTTCTTGGCGCTGGATGCCTTCTGGGGCTGCTTCTTTTTGGAGTCGATTTCAACCGCAGGAGCGGCAGTGGGAGCAGTTTCAGCCATGATCACTATTGTCTAGGACGATCAGACAATAATTACAGCCACAGCCGGCTCTAATTTATAGATCTCCAGCTAGCATCCTATTGGCTGATCTAACCGCGCTCTGATTGGATACAGTCTTATGACACACCCTCCACTTTCCCTTCTCCTGCTTTTCACACACTGCTCTCACTCTGTGTTTCCGAGTGGATAAAACTAATAGATTTAACTGAAATAAGAGCACGGATGTCAATGTCATCTATCGTGAAATGTACTAAACTATCTAATCTAGAATTTATTAGCAGTCCCATGGCTCCCGAGGACTGCCACAATGTATTAGAGCTGGGGAAAGCTGACACAACTTGTTTGGCATGAGCCTGATGTTCTCCAGACATTATTTCCAGAACTATTTAATTTATATATTTGAAGGCTTTCTTTCTCACTCTTATTTAGGAAAGGGAAGGGACCTGTGTAATCAAGGTGTGTTGTAGCTCATGTCATAAAGAAACATAGAAGTGGAATGTTGAACCTAGTTTGTTCAGACAGTAAACTCAGGCAGTATGTAGTAAGCTCAAAGCAGATAGATGATATTTAATTTTCATAATCTTTATTCTATTTATTTATTTTTTTGTTATCCTCTAACAGCAACTAAAACCATATATATGTACACTGGAACTAAACTCTGCTATGTGAATTTGCGTCTCTTGGTCATCTTGACGCAGTGTGATGACCCCCTTGCCAACCTGCCAGGGGAGCGCTTTTTGGAGAGAAAGTATTTATAGGAACAATTGCTCCCTGAGAGCTGGGGGAAGCCCCTTTCCGTTTGACCACAGGAACTCCCACCATTTGATCGACCCAAAGACACAATTATGCTGGAACGATTTTGGGCTTGTGCGGCCAGTCAAAATTTACCCCTGTGGCGATCGAACAATTCTTCATGGATACGGGTGCTATTTTGCCAACTCGCATGAGAGCTATCCAGGAATGAATTATATGTGGGGTGCCTGTGTGGTTTTATTGTATTATGGGGGTGGTTTTGTGTTAAGTACTTTGTATCCGGGAGATAATTAGTTTAGCGGTCAGCAACTCAATTATCTCCCGGACACAGAGGCGCCTGGATGGGCACTTTATGCACAGAATGGAGACCCCATGCTGGGGGTCTATGTATAAAAGACTAAGCCTATTGAATAAAAATCTAGTTGTACTCCAAGAACTGTATTGTCCAGTTAATGAGGGAAAGGGCTATTTTGAAGGAACTCCTGTACGAGTACCTCCGCCCAGTCCACTTCCTAGCAGCTTGCAGGGACAGCTTTTTTTGGGAGCTCTCTCATTCCAGGCAGGTATCATCCCCTCTGACTATTCCGCTGCAGCCCTTCTTCCAGGCAGGTATCCGACTCTAGCTGCAATGGTATTTCTATTGCCTTTGCAGGCAGCAGGATTTGGTCATTGAGTGCGTGGAACTATACAACGGTTACCTAAACTCGCGAACCCCAGGAACATCGTACAATCGCCTACTTCTCTCACACACAAGCCAGAAGACACTCCCGAACAAGGGGAACATTCGCTCCCTATGAGCCAGGGGAACCTTTAGTTTGAATTCGTATACGAACACCCGAAGATTGACCATCCTCTTTTCTTATGGAACTATTTTGGGCAGCAGCCAGTTGGTCAAAACTTTACCCCGGTGTTGATTCAGCTACAATACAGGGATCTGAGTGCTATTTGGACAACTTAGGTGCTCAGGCATCCAGTATTTCCTGTCTGATTCCGGCTTCTGACCTTGGCTTTCTTCCTGGGCTACTCTGATCTCTGGCTTCCCCTGACTTTGGCTTTCCTTGACTACACTTCTGCTAATCCCTGCTGTACTGCTACTTGGAGCACTATTCCTGGAAAGCCCCGTGCACAGACTCACAGGGCAGGTGGCGTCTTACCTGGTCACCCTGGTCTGTGTCTACTTTGCAAGGGTGAGCGTATAACTCTGCGAGCCGGACTCCCCATCAGGTAAGACTCCTGACACAAACATGCACTCGCAGACACACATAATCACTCAGACACACACTGACAGACATTCACTCACAGACACACACTCACACACAGACATACACACACTGACAGATATATACACACGCAGATTCACAGACAAACACACACACACACATTTCCCCCCAACACTCACAGATACATTTTTTTATTTAATTTAAATCCACCCAGCCTACCTACCTTTGGGAGAGCTGGGTAGATTTTTTTACCTGTGGTCCAGTGGAACTGCTGGCTGGACTGTTTGGGTAGCAAAACAGGCATGCAGAAAGGCGGGCGGCCAGTTGAGGTCCAGGCGGACGACGAGGGAGCTCTGATTTGTAATTTCATATTCCGGCTCCTGGCATTACTCTGCGTCGCACAAATCAGCGCTCCCTCGCCGTCCGTCTGGACCTCAACTGGCCGCCTGCCCCAAGGCTAACAAGGCATTTCCCTGAACATTTGGGGCGGTGTTTTCTGACGCCCTCTGGAAAGTGACGCCCGAGGCAAATGCCTTGTTTGCCTTGCAACAAACACAGCACTGGATCTGGGCTATCCGGGAATATAAAACTTGTGGGGGTTCCTACCAATATTACATATGTTTTGGGGTGTTTTTGTGTTATGTACTGTACCTCTAGTGCCTGGGATATAATTTGTTTAAACTAAAGCAAACTCACTTATCTCCCAGACACAGAGATGCCTGGGCGTGCTTACCTATGCTTTTGCTTGGAGGTCCCATGCTGGGGGTTGTGTGTATATAAGCAGGCAACTTTGCCATAATAAACCAGTCCTTTTGAACCCTTCATCAAGTCTCAACTGATGTTTGGGTATGCAATAGAGAGAGCTCTATATTCATATGAACCTTGCGGGAATTTGGATGATCTTCAGACGAACGTACCACTCTGTGTACAGGCGGTTCTTCACATTTGGTGTCAAGCGGCAGGATCTTTCTCCTGAATGGCCCAGCAGTACCAGCTCCTTTCAGCAAACAACGCTGAAAGACCTACTGGAAGCTTGGGGATGTAGGCAAGTAACAAAACTAAATCAACCCTTATAGCCAAACTCATAGAGAGCGACCAAGCCAGTAACTCATTGACCAGGATCATCAAGGAATCTGAGTTTCAGAGGGATGTACGATGGCAGCTAAGCATACTAGGGCCTGTGATGGAGCTCCTGTACTCTGACTAAGTACCTCCGCCCAGTCCGCTTCCTAGTCGCTTGCAGGGACCCTGGAATGATTCAGCCCCATTCGCCGTGTGTTGCAATCTAAGTGTAATGATCATTGTAACGGATCAACTATACCTAACTGAGTATATCCGTTATAAGTCTCCCAAGTGAAGCAGTGATTAGCCAAGACTTGATGAAGGTTACAACAGGATTTGTTTATTGAAGACCAGATACAGTTTTTATGCACAGACCCCCACAGGGGGTCCACAGTAATGTAAAACATAAGCCCGCCCAACTGTATCTCCCAGACACAGGAAGCCGACACACAAAACCCCACAAAATACACATAATACAATAATGCATCCCGCATGCTATACATCCCTGAATAGCTCCTGGTCCCAGCTAGAATCCATGCACATTTTGGAGCGATCGGATGTACAGAGCCCGAGAAATTGTTGTGTAAAGTTCAGGGGTTTTGTACACCCTTGCAAACAGTTCCATAGAATCACTTGGCTTAGGCTGGTTGATTCAAACGTTGCGCCTAACCCAAGCTGCGACTAACCCGGAGAAAGGGCGCGAACACACAGCGACCAATCAGCGCTCAGGGAGGGGAAGAGTTACAAGGTAAGCCCTCTAACTCCGGCTGATCAATCAGGAGAAAAGGCGAGAACCATTTTGAACGGCAGCTCCTTCTCCTATTGGTCGGCACGGTTTCCAGGCATGGCACGCAGTGACTGCGTTCCATTACAATCATATGGGCTAGTCCCGCGTTAAAATAAAGTATTGCATGTTAGTTCCCGCGTCAAGGGAAACGACCATGGTGGGGGTGTTAGTGGTCACTTGTCACCATATCACATCAATATTTCTGTGTGTATTCTCAAACAATTGTCTTCCTGGTATAAAATTGACTTGGTCAGTATTTATTAATTTTCCCAAAAAGGGGGACAAACTTTTCTATAACTCCCAATCGGATCGCGCAACCACCGTGATCCGATAAAACTTTGAACAGAGCGCTTTCAGTCCCAGGACCATATTTCAGAGCGCTAATTGGAGGGTTTATAGAGGAGGTGGAGAGGCATCAAACGACACTTAGAACTTGGGGGAGCTCCTTATATTCGTGGAAAGCGCCGCATTTGAAGGTGACCGGGAAATTCTACCCAGCCTGCTGGAACTCTGTGCATGATCTGTGGCTAACAGCGTCCTGCTGAACTTTGGACTTCCACCTAATTCGGGCTAGCTAAATCCGATCCGGGTGCTTTTTGGACACATTGGGTGCTCCAAAAAGATCTTTCTGGGGATACATGGTGTGACGAACTGGACCTCGTCATGTGTCCTTGGAGGGACATACTTGCCAGCCTCTTACCCTGTGACTATGGCCCCTGTGATAAAACTTGGTTTAAATCACTATTTGTGCCTGTTGGGACGTATAACAGGAACCATTAGGGCACTTTGAACTCCCGAAGCCATTCGAAGTACCCTTGCACCACGTGGTGGTGGCCATCTTTTTCGCATGGACCAAAACCGCAAATGGCCTTCAGGGGGACTTGGCTGTGAATGCCCTGGAACTATATTCGGCATGAAAACCCGTTCGGTCCTCCAGCGGCACTTAGCCGCGATTCTATGGAACTATTTTTGGCTATGGGACCATGCCTGCGGTCGGTAAAAAATATGACTTCCATAAACATTCTGAACCCCTGAACTGATCTGGGTGATTTTTGGATATGTTGGTCACCCAGATCAGGGCTATCAGGGGATGTAAGATTTGTAGAGAGATAGTGTGTTTAGGGGTACTTTGGGGGCTTTGTAAAATATATGTTCGTTTTCACTTGGCGATAATTGAG